CCACATTGATCGCTTAATAGCTATGAATGTCGGCCAGTTACTTTATTAGCCTCACTGTGCCTGTTTCCCTAATTCAAACAGATTCCCAGGAGACAGCTTGGTCTCGAGCTCTGTGTTCAAATCCTGGCTCCACCATTCCATCAGTTGTGTGGCCTTGGACAAACCTCTTCATCTCTCTGTGCCTCAGTTTCCCAACACCTGACGAGCCCCAGCTGTGAAACTGAGATAATGGCCCCAGCCTCACAGGAGATCACCAGGAATAGAGATGCTCATGTAAAGCCCTTGGCTACTACATGGGCAACATCAAACTGTCAGCTCCTTCCTCCTCCTTCCCCGAGTCTAGACCCCACGCTGTGCACCTGCCTTGTCTTGTGATCTCTTGTCCTCTTTGAGCATTGGACTGTTTGCAAGGTCAGGTTCAACTCCCTGGACTGTTTGCAAGGCCTGGTTCAACCCCCTGCTCCCGTCTGGACTGAGCCATGTTACCGAGCACCCATGTCTCACCCTTGTAACTGACAGCGTCTCACTCAGTTCCCTCAGTCCTTCCTCCAGCCCTGTGCCTTCCTCGTCTTACTCTGCCTCATGTGTTTCCTCCTGTCACCATCTTGGAATTTCTACCCATTTGTTGTAGACTGGATTCTGTGGAGAAGCAGAGCCAGTGATGCTTATGTATGTGTCTTGGAGATTTTGCTCAAGGAAAGGACTCTGCAAGTTCCAAGTCCATGGGTTCACTGTCAGGCTGGGGGCTTCTCCTGACTCACACAGAGCTGCAGAGGCAAATGAATCCAGGGTTGGCAAGTAAAATTGCGAGTTGCTAACTGCTCCTAGCATCAGCAGACGTAAAATATGGCAGCCTACTGGCTCAAGTGCAGAGAACTGGAGGTAAGATAATGAACCAGATTCAGGAACCAGCTCCAGCAAAAAGCAAGCAAGTTTTGCCAGAGCGTCCGCATATACTGGAAGCGGGCCACACCCCTGAGAAAACTCCCTTCCGGATGATTGGCTGCTCATAGCAGATCTCCTCTTGGAAGTGATTACATCAGATCTCATTCTGGGGGATGATGACATCATAACTCATGGTCCAGCCACGCTGACACACTCCCTTTATTAACCATGACCGTCCATCAAGGCCAAGTGTGGAGTGCTTCCTGCGTCCCAGATACTCTTACACAGGAGGGGGCCAGCTGAGGGTTACTGCGCTCGGTCATGTAGCACTCCACAGTTGGGACCTGTTGCTTAGTCACCACTGTGACTTTCCTTCTGGAAATCTCACTGGGAGAAGGAAGAAATTCCAGAATGGGACCTCTCTGGGGGCAGGGACCACGTCGTCTTGACCTTCTCCAGCACCTTCATGTCACAGGCCCTGTCTGCGTTGACACGTGCATCCAGTAGAGTGGATGGGTGACTGGGACTCAGCGTGGTGGCCGAGTGCCACAGAGCCTGAACTCGTGCTTTCTTCTCTCCTTACTGGGTCTGGTGCAGAGGGGCTTAGGTCAAAAACAGGATCATATATCGTCGACTCAGAGACTCCTGGGCTCCATGAGGCTAAGCTTAGTTCTCCCCTTTCTGTCAACTCCCCAAATACTTAGGTAATGGTAGAGTTGGGTTACTGGGGTAGAAAAATTAGCAGTGCCTACTTGTTCCCTTAGGAGAATATGTGGTTCTGGCCTCTAAACTGCTGTATATCTGTGAAGACTTAGGGGTGAGAATTGAGAATTTTCTCCCCCAGGGTGCCTTGGCAACTTACCCCTTCTCTTCTCTCCCTAAATGGCTCCCAGTAAAGCTACATCCTCCCCTTCTTTCATTCACACCTGACGAGTCCCAACATCTGGTGGCCGACCTAGAAAAAGAGCAGCTTGTTGAAATCCTTGGGCCCGCTACTACCCCACGGGCTGCCCAGGTGTAAACCTGGGGACCTCCCCCATGACAATCGGGAGCTCGTTCCCAATGCTGAACTTAGAAGCAGAGTTGCCTTATTTCTAATTTCTCTCTTTTGTTAGCTCCTGAGTTAATCAGGCGGAGATACCTAGGGTAGCTTTGCTGAAACACTCCATCACTCACTCCGAAAAGGAACTCTGGAATGCTGGAGCTGCTGCAGCTATTCGGTCCATCCTGCTGGGCTGTACCCATCACCCTCTGAGAGCTGTTGAGAGTGTTTTAAATTGGCAGTGTCAAGAATTCCTCTCCCGTGTTTCCCAATTAGCAATAGCATATCGGAGCCCCTAGAGCTCAGCGGCTCAGGCACCCGCGTTCTGAGTGAGGTGACCTTACAGGTTTGCCGGCACTCTGCCATGTCCCATGACAGTGGGTTGGGCCTGCGGTCCACCTTAACTGTGTCCACACCTCTCTCTCAGTTGGCTCACGCTTAAACAAGGAAGGGCAGGTTTCCAGTGCATCAGAGACCAGCTGAGTGGAGTGGGGAGGGGGAGGGGGCTCCACCACGTGATGACCACACCTTTCTGCCAATTAAGTCTCCATGGCCTGGGGCCTGGGCGTGAAAGGACGTGTTGTTGGAGAGGCACCGGGGTGTCTCAGTTCTCTCTTGCTGCTGTAACAGAAATACTACAGGTAGGTGGTTTCCACAGGCAGACATTGACTTTCTCACAGTTTAGGGAACTAGAGGTTCACATTTAGGGCCCCGGAAGGCGCTGGGGGAAGGCTCCTTGGTTGCGTGGTTTCCTTCATGTGGCTACGCCCCTGTTGTCCCCTTGGTCTACTCCATTTATATCTCAGTGAGACGGACTCACAGCGCTCTACTCTACCCCTGCCTCGCTCATGTCCCCAAAGGGACCGTAACCAGTAGAGAACGGTTGAAAGCACAGACGTTGGGGACACAGTTGAATCCATCACAGGTGGACCCCTCTGACCTTTATTTGGAGGTGCTCACCTGGTTGGGATTCTGTAGCCCAGCCAAGCTGCTCCCTCCAGCCCCCTGAAGCACATGGCCCGCCATCAGTGTCTCCTGGCTACTTCAGAGGGGCAGCTCGTCAGGTTCCTGTGGACCTGTGGAGCTCATTAGCTCCGTTTTGCCCTCCTGAAGCCTCTCAAGCTGTCCTTGAGGGTTTCTCACCCAGATTGAAAACGAGGCTTGATTACTCCCACCCACACTGGCCTGAAATACTAACCACCTTCCTAAGAAGGAGCCTCTTGTTACCTAATGGTGGGTCAGCACTTGGAGACGAGGGAACAGAGCCTGGCGTGCAGCCCGGCTTGGTGGGAGGTCTGCTAGCCCTCTCGGGCCGATGTCTTCTTGTTTCCCCACATGGTACCCCTCCTGCCTGGCTGCTGACCTTGGGCTGCCCTGGTGGTGACGTTGGGGCAGCAACAGCCGCAGCTTTCAAAGGCCCTGAGGAGGCAGCTCGTGGAGGTGGCATGTGGGAGACATTGGGCAACAAGAGGTTGTGGTGATCTTGGAGTCACCTCGAGGGGCCACCGCTGGCCACAGGTGCTCCTTGGCATTGCTCCCACGTGGTACTAGGAGGAGGGCTGCCAGGTACAACAGAGTGCGCCCCTTTGTTCTGTGTATTTCAGATCACCAGTGGGTACTGTTATAGTGAACATGAGTCCTCAATAGCTCCTCGAGGTTTTGCTGCATGGGACTTGCTGAAACTTCCTCGTTCATCAGAAGCTGGGGTCTAGCTGTGCGTCTGGCATGTTTGCTTGGTGCCTCCAGCAGCCCTCGCTCAGAGGGCAGCCCTGGGTCGGTCCGTTGCTGGGCGCTGGGGGAACACTGGCAGAGACAGCAGCGTGCTCTGACCGACTTAGTGACTGTTCTATTGACAGATTCTCTGAGTCCTGACTGCAAACTGGCTTTGTGGCCCAGGGGGAGCCCTGCCCACCTGTGAAGCCTCCAGGGTAGGGCGCCCTGGGCCTCTTGTTTCCTCACTTGTACTGCGAGATAAATCCTAGCGAGTTCCTGCAGGTACTGAGAGGATGCAGTGAGTCTGCACCACCTTCGTTTCCCCCCCGGACCCTTCCCGTCATTCACAGAAGCCTTTCCTGACCCTCTCAACATCCACACTCTCCCGTTCCATAGACGGAGGGGTCTGGGCACCAGGAAAATACAGACCCCTTGTTCACAAGTGACTAAGAGTTTTAAGATGGTAACAGCAGAGCCTTCAGCCAAGCCTGGGATCCTGTAACTGCCCACCAGGAGGCCACCCAGCCCAGGTGGTGAGGTGGCCTGGGACACAGGAGGTGGCTCTGGGGCATTGTGCACAGCCTCAGTGGGCAGCTGTGCCACCCTGTCTCCAGGCTTAGGGCATGCACACATGTGTGTTTATTCATAAAATCTGCTTTGTAAACAGTGGCAGTTAAAAAGGAACACGAGGGTAGAGACCCCCTCTCCTGAGGAATTTACTGCAGTGCTGGTGTGGTCACTGGGTAAATCTCTGTCCCTCCCACAGGCCATGTATCTCCACGGGGGCTGCACGGTCACCAGCCACCCTCTTAGCCCAACAACTGGCACCCCAAAGCACACTTGCCATGTTGGAGGTGCTCAGTGAACAAACAGCAGTCTCATGGCTGTAGCGTTTTTTTTTCTTTCCTATGAATAAACCATTTTAATCATTCATTCGTTCAGCACACATTCATTAAGTCCCTGCCAGCTCCCAATAGTGGGCATATTTGTGTGAGGTCTCCTCCATTTAGGAATATGAAGTGAGATTTGATACCCTAAGCACCTCAAGGCCATTTGTGCATGGTGCTCTATAAGTACACACTAACTCTGTCGATGATGTTGTTGTTGTTGTTATGTGCCGTGGAGTCGGTTCCGACTCATAGCGACCCTGTACAGGGTTTCCAAGGCTGTAAATCTTTACGGGAGTAGAAAGCCTCATCTTTCTCCTGCAGAACAGCTGGTAGTTTCGAACTGCTGACCATGAGGTTCGCAGCCCGATTTGTAACCACTACTCTAGTGATCGCTAATTGTGTTCTGTGGGCTCATCTTTGAACATGTGAGGACAGTGTGACTGAGTGCCCACGTGTCTTTGTTTTCCCAGGACGCCAAGTTTGTTGAGGAGCGGCGGAAGCAGCTTCAGAATTACCTCCGTGGAGTCATGAATAAAGTCATCCAAGTGGTCCCTGAGTTTGCTACCAGCCCCCGCAAGGAGACGCTCATTCAGTTGATGCCCTTCTTTATGTAAGTACCCGCTCATGTGGGTGAGCTGTGCCCAGTCTGCTGAGCCAGCCTCCCACTCTCCCTCTCTATCCGCGGGATTAGGAACTGAAGGTCCTCTGTGTGGTGGTTTAGATGCTGTAGGAAACGCACCTGTGCTTGGGGAGCTTTTAAAGGCACGACAGCAGAGTGTCTGTCCCCGGGCACTAGGCTTCCCACAGGGCCTGAGAGGACAAGTCTGTAAGTGAGGCCCATTGACTGGGAGTTTGCACATGACAGCAGGTCTGTGTGGCTTCCTACTTGTGTACATTTTGATGAAAGGAAGTTTGTCTACTCAATAATTCATGGTTGTTCCAAAGCTAAAAGTAAAGGGTCCCTGTTTCAGTGTCTCTCAAGTTTGGGTAATGAACCAAAAAAAAAGCTCAGGCTCCCAGCAGGATCAACTGCTTACATGGGAACAAACGTAAAACTAGGTAGAAATTCCTTGTTCATATCTCTCTTATCAAAGGTTAAAAACAAATACCTGACTTAGTGTCCTAGGGCTTTTGTAACTAAATACCACAGCGTGGGTGGCATTAAAGTACAGAAACGTGCTGAAGGCTACAAGTCCACATGCAGGTTGTCACCCGGGCCCTGCTTACTCTGTTCACTGTGGCGGAAGATTCTTCCTCTTCTCTTCCCACTTCTGGCAGCCCTTAGCTTGCAGACCCATCTTCACTGGTTTAAAATTAAGAAAGGTGTGCGACAAGGTTGTATTCTTTCACCATACTTACTCAACCTGTATGCTGAGCAAATAATACGAGAAGCTGGGCTATATGGAGAAAAACTTGGCATCAGGATTGGAGGAAGACTCATTAACAACCTGCAATATGCAGCCCTTGCTTGCTGTAAGTGAAGAGGACTTAAAACATTTCCTGATGAAGAAGATCAAAGAGCACAGCCTTC